ATTTGTAAAACTTGGAAGATATGCTACTCTCAGTTACCAGTCAGACCTGAGACACATTTGTTTACTTCATTTTATATATTTTACTAAATCCTGGGGGCAAAGAAGGGAGAAAGACACACAAAAGTCCAAATCCTTGTAAATATGATTCTTCTGGGACAAATAACAAAAAAAATGCAATTTCTGTTATTAATATATCTATCAAGAAAACAAAAGCTAATAGGAGTGTGAACAAAAACTAATCTCTTGAGTCACAAAGTATCAGAGCAGAGATTTAATTGATGAACCATGTGAAGTTCTGGAGCAGTGTTCACTTCAGTAAACATCATGTTAGCCCAGCCACAGAAATGTGCTTCCTCTGTTTGAGGGACAGCAAGCATTCATCTGTAGCTGAAGTAGAGATCAAAAGAGAATATAAGATCAGAGATACGCAAGACAGGAACCAGATCATCTAGGTCATGGTTAAAGAATTTGGATTTTACTGAACATAGAGCTGATTTAAGCTTTAGAAAGACCATTCCAGCAATGGTGAAGAAAACTGAACAAGGTTCAGAGACCCATGAAGCTACTGCTGTCATGAAAGAAAAATAATGAAGCTAACACAGTGAGTATGGGAGAAATGGTTCCATCAGGAATCTGAAAGAACAGAAGACCTAATTACCAATCCACTGGATGCAGTCTGAGGAAAAGACTGCTAATTGTGACTTGAGCAAACCCTAATAGTCAAACCTAGAAAGGCAAGATACAAATCATTAACGTCCCCACTTCTAAAGATTTTGGCTTTATCTGAAAAGCAGTAGAGTAGGGAGAAGAAAAAAGAGACTCCAGACATTTTGTTGATTTACCAAGCCAGCTTCAGCAGGCACACAGCAGACTCCTCAACTCTGTTTGAAAACTTGAGTCACCGCTGATTACTTCTGCAGAGACTGGGAGTCTGCCTAGCAATCATAGATTAGGATTTCCTATGAAGTGCAAAGAATCCATGTTAAAGTTATTTATTGTTGAGACAATCTGAGTGTAAATATATCTTTCTTCCCAACTCCTTTTCCTCTCAATCCCCTAAGAAACTACTAGGACCAATTACCTTGCCAACTTTTTGACCATCTAAACTAACCCAGTTTATCCCAATCATCGTTAGTCCTGCCAATGATAAACATTCCTTTGGGCAGCTATCCTCCTCTAAACTCAGTCTTAATCTGCACTCACCTCCTTGGCTGACTCAACTTCCCACTATTACACTCTATCCTATTTACTATGCCCCAGAAGATTATTTTTCATGGTTAACAAACCTCCTTCCCAGTCCCATTCAAGGAACATTCTCTTTTGTCAATTACCTTGAACTTAAATGTGGCTCTCATTATAGCATATGCAATACCACTCTTTAAAAGGGAAGTGCCTCATTCTCCAAACCTTCATGTACTTCACATTCAAGAATACAGATATCCATCAGACTGAACATGGTATAGCAGCACAATTTCAGAGAAATTCATAAAATAACTCTAAATTCACAAAGAATAAAAACGTATCAAAATGTTTTAAGGGGACTCACTCAAAAAACTAAAATATATCCACAGAACTAATGAAGTGATTATAAACTGATGTTGCAGAATACTTAATGTCTCCTGGGACTATCCATGTATGTACACTTAATTTAATACTATGTAACATAAAAGGCTGATTTGATTAAAGAAAAAAAAAGCGTGAAGCATATATACACAAAAATTTAAAAATAAAGTATACCAAAATGTTATCTCTAAGTGGTATAAATCATAAATAACTTTTTCTTTTTACACGTTTTCTATTTCCCTCAATTTCTCAATGTATTTTTATAACCAGAAAAAGGCCAAATATGCTTTTAAAAGTCTATAATAATCATTTTAATAACATTTTAATAATGATAACACAGCAAACATCCTCTTCAACAAAATTTACGTAGGCCATTTTAGACTTTTCATATCCTTGCTTTAATTGAAAAGCTTATTTCCAAGTCCTTTAAATGATTGCCTAGAACATCAAAGTCATCAAAAACAAAAACATAACTCAAAAAAAATCTCAATATTTTTTCTAAACATATCATCCACTTAAACAGTAATTCAGCAAAGAATGTAATCAGTCTCAGTTATTATGGTTTAGATGTGAAACGTTCCCCAAAAGCTCCCGTATTATTGCAAGAATATTCAGGGGTAAAATAACTGAATTATGAGAGCTGCAAGCAACCTAATCAGTCCATCTGAGTTTGAATAAAGTTGCTGTAGGTAGGTGGGGCATGACTGAAAGAGGTGGGTCACTGAGGGCATGCCTTGGACGGGTTCATCTTCTCTGTAGTCCCTTCACCATGCTTTCTTCTGCTTCCTGGCCTCCATGAGCACAGTAAACTCCCCTACCATGCCCTTCCATCATGATGCTCTGCCTCAGAATAAAGGTACAATGAACTGAACCCTGCCCACCATGGACTAAATCTCTGAAACTAAGTCAAAATATACTTTTCCTCCTGTAACTTGTTCTTGTCAAGTGTTTTGAACACATCAACACAAAGTGAGTGATACACAATTATTCTCTGTAAAATGAAGCACATACTGTTGCTTTATAAAGTTTTATACAACTCTATGCATTTTTTATTTTATAAGACAGCATTAATTAATCATGTATTTTTAAATGTTTTATAAGGAGATTTTCACCTTGCTAATTTTCACCTTGCTAATTTCCTTTAAGAAAAATATATATATCCTTGTACACAGTTTTGGCTAATGTACCCAAGTAGTAAATGATAGGATGTTGGAAAGAAATTTTCAATGAGAAAATTTCTAAATTCCCAATGAGAAAAACACTTAAAAACTTTCCTCTCAAAAGTTCAGCAATAAACCACAATTGCAACTGGAATAAAAAATTACTTCGAATAATATCTAATAACTCAAAGACATTACTTTGAAAAGAAAGTTCTTTCATACTTTCTTTTTGTGTGCAGTACTGGGGATGGGACCCAGCATCTTGCTGCACATGTCAGGCAAGTACTCTACCACTGAGCTGCATCCTCAGCCCACCCTTCTTTTTAAAACTTATGCTTAATCTTTTAAATTCAGTTTGAAAATAGTACCTCCACCATAATGCCCTTGGAAAGAATTGTTTAGTACAGAATCTGTGTGGACAGAAAACATCTTAGAATATGGTTCACCTAACTATTACTTCACTGAATTATATAACATGAACATATAAGTAGAACTAGGTAACAATTTCCAACAATACTCTTATTAGACTTTGTTTCTATTAAATCATATCTGAAAAGCTGTATATCTTTTTTTAAAAAAAGTAGAAATTCTTGAAAATAATTCATAAAATCATATGATCAAGAATTTAATATCTTCCTACTTAAGAAAAGATGGCTTTCAAATCAATTTTAATAAACATGGTATCTGTCCTCCAGAAACACTCAGTTTCCATGAATGATTATGTCAGAGCTCTTTCCCGATATAATCTTAAAATCCATTACAAATCAGTAGTTAGCTTCTTATTGTTACTAACATATTTAAACTTTGTCTTTAAAAAAAGTACAAATGGATCTACAAGCAATGATGTATTATCTGAATCTAACAAATGGACAGGCAGGCCTTGAGAGCTGGAGAGGAGGAAAAGGTCAGAAAGAGGACACTGAGATACAGAGACAGTTTTGCTCGGCATTTATAATATACTGTACCTGTGTTTCTATGAACTGTATTTCTGCTTTGGTTGGAGACCACTCTACAGCTACTATAGTTGCTCATGGCTTTGTTAGAAGAAAATGAAAGGCTACAGAGATAATCTATGTAGGCCTCAGATTATATATTTTAATTTCATTATTTAAGACTATATATTTAATTATTTTTCTTATCTACACTGACGTAAACAGTTTTATTCCTCTAGAATGAGTTATCTTGATTTGGCAACCAAGGCATATAACCTTTTACTGAGAAAAATCATATTATTCTGATTTAGCAGGGAGTGTATTAATTTTGGTATAGTGGGAAATTATCCTTCTGTGCACAGTAATTAAGCAAAACTCAATATATATTCATAGCTTACTCAATATAATGTTTTCATTCACCTCAGAATCTTGTTTAAAATGCACAGCATGTACTCTAAAACTTAAACGAGAACAAAAGATTTATTTTCTTCAAACAGGGCAAATTTAAAGGGTAGTTAAAAGTCATTTACTTTCACTCAACCTAAAACAATAACATTGGCACTGCAGTGACAAAGAGGCTCCAAATTACAAAGGTCAGTTAAGTAAAAGAGGGCAAAGGCAGCAAGACTCAGATACTAAAAATAAAAACAAAAATAGATTCAATGCAGCATTTTGAGAATGAAGATCAATGAAACAATAGTTGCTCAAAATTATATCAGTTATAATGTTATTTCCTACGTTGATATCAAAGATCCTTTCTATTTTAACATTCCTCTTTACTGGTTCTTGGCATTTGTTTTAATAAATTTCTATATTTTACTTACATTATCCAAAGTAAAATATATTGCCCCAGTTAAAAAATAACTTGGCTATCATGGTAAAAGTGAAAATATATGATAAAAATATAAAGGGATGGCAAGCGAGAAGCAGCAGCATATTTTATTTACTATTGATCCAAGTAATAAGGCAGCAGGTTGTCTTTCCAATCAAAACTACTTTTATAGTTATACAAATGTCCTTGCCTGCTCAATAGCAAAGGTCTTAAAAAGAAATAACTGAGAAGATGAAGTATAGGAAAATTATGATATAAACCATGAATGACTAAAATACAAGTGAATAATATTGTGATTTAATGCTATGATTCTAAGTAGAACAAGTTTATTGCTTATATGCATGACAACACAATTATTAACAAGACAGATATCTAATCAGTAATAAAATAATGGATAATGATGTAAATATTTGTTTAGCTTCATCAATAAAAAAAATTCAATGCATGAAGATTTTATGAAATCAAACTAGTAGTAGTTCTACAGATAAAATAACCTGGTAGCTGTTTTCTTACCTGTAAGGACAGCTTTTGCTGAAGGATCTGCCAGGTCCAGAGCTGATTTCCCATCAGTGTTCCGAATGTTTGGATCAGCTCCGTGCTGCAGCAGCACTGTGCAGGGAAAGCAGAAACAATATCTTACCTCGGGGATACAGAGATTATTTACTGGTAAGTGTCGCCTCGGCATGGTGTAGGCATAAACATACATTGCACAAATTTTTTTCTTTTGAGGAAAAAGAAAAGAAAGAAAAAGAGAAAAAAGCACTGCAGCAAAAGATCTTCTCTAGAGTAAAGGAAGTTGGCAACTTATGATACAGTATTATCACATGACTTGACATCATAAACATGAAACTAGAAAAATCTTGCAATATACAGTTTTAGTTTGCTTCCTTCGGGCAGCAGTAAGGGAAGCTGTGTGCTCACTGACTCAGACTATGAAATATGTTAACTGTGAACCTGCCCTATCTTTACTACCACTGTGGCTGCTTGTTGCTGCTGCTGCTTTACTGCTGGATTTCCAAATGCTTTCTCTTCTCAGAATAGTTATAATACTGTGCAAGACTTTTAGTGGCTCACCGCTTACATATGAAACTCACCATAACATACTGGCTTGCTTCCAAGAAGTTTAACAGACATAGTAATGCATGCAACTCAGGTACTCTACAGTCAAGCTACACAAAGAATGGTCTTTTAAAATAATCTTTCCATCAAAAAAATTAAAAAAAACCTCAATCTCTATAATAAAACATATACTAAGAAATGTATGTAACACATGCTATACTGGGTTAAAATAATGTAAAATCCACATGTAAATCTGTTAATCCAATATTTCTAAGCCCCATCTAGTATATGAGTATGTATATGGCAGTAGGGATTACTGCTATAAATACTACTCAAGCAATGATTAAACTAATAAATAGGCTCAGCATCCCTAGTCTAAAATCCAAAATCCAAAATGGTCTAAAATACAAAACAAAAAAAAAAAAAAAAGAAAAAGTGAGCATCTCTATGATGTTCCAAGTGGAAAATTCCACATCCAACTTTATGTGACAGGTCACAGTCAAAACACAAGTGTACTAAAAATGTTATATAAAATCACTTTCATGTCTGGACCTGGATCCCAACCCTAAGATATTTGTGTGTGTGTGTGTGTGTGTGTGTGTGTGTGTGCGCGCGCAATACACACACACACACACACACACACACACACAAATATTGCATATATATACAAATCTTCTAAAATCAAAAAAACTCTGAAATTTGAAACATTTCTGATCCCCAGGATAAGTACAATTCAAGTACAGCTTTTGGGTCACCTCCATTGACGAGACCTGAATTTTCATCTAGATCTTGGGTTGTTTTAGATATTAAAATTAGCCATGGCTTGAGAAGATACAGAGAAATCTTATGAAGATATTGTACAGTAGTCCCAACTTATCTGCAGCTTTGATTTCTGTGGTTTGAGTTACTGGCAGTCAACTACAGTCAGAAATATTAAATAGACAATTTCAAAAATAAACAATTCACGGGTGTTAAACTGTGTGCCAGGAATAGTATGATAAAATTTTACACTGTCCTTTTTCATCTATGTGGGATGAATCATGCCTCTGTCCTGCATATCCATGCTGTATACACTACTTACCCATTAGTCACTTGGCAGTCATCTTGATTATCAGATCAATTTTCATGGGACTACAAATGCCTACGTTCAAGTAACCCTCATTTTACTTAATAATGGTTCCAAGAGTAGAGATGCTGGTAAATGGGACATTCTAAAGAGAAGCTACAAAATGCTTCAAGTAAAAAGGGGGAAATTTTCAATATAGAAAAAATTTGAATGATGAGGCTACTAAAATCTGTAAGAACAAATCTTTTAAACTGTGAAAATGAAAAAAGAAGTTAGTCTGTCCCATCACTAAACACAAGTTAGAAAACCACATTCATAATAATTTTTGTTACAATATATTATAATAACTGTTCTATTTCTATTATTAGTTATTACTGTTTATCACTTACTGTGGCTAGTTTATAAAGTAAACACTGTATGTATAGGAAAGACCACAGTATATATATGATCCAGCACTATCTGTGGTTCCAGGCATCTACTATGGGTCTTGGAATGTATTCCCCACAGATAAAGGGGATTCCTGTATATTATCTGCTTTTTCTGGGGGCGGGGGTGGTGCTGAGGATTGAACCCAGAGCTTCACTAAACACAATTCTACCACTGAGCTACAACCCCAGCTCCTATTATTTCACTCTTGAACATAAGCAACAAACATTATTAGTTTACAGATGTTTAATGTTAAGTATTTTCTAGAGATAAGACTTAAGTGGAATAAAATAGCAAGTACCAAAATATCAAACTGTAGTTACTTTTTCATCATAATGATAATGATTAGAACTTTTGCAGGAATAATACTTCCTTTATTCTAGGAAGAAACTAATGTGAAGATTTGGTTTGTAACAGGTTTTATCATAAAGAATCAAAAGGGAGCTGATATCAACTTGATAACCTTACATAGCTACTGAGTGAGCAAATGTAATAGAAAATAAAGAATGATAGCTATCATGAAAAGTAGAGTTTTTTGTTGCATCTTCTCAAGCCATGGTTAATTTTACCTAACTCAGATGGAAAGGAATATTAGAGAAGACATGAGACAGCAAGTCCAAGCATTGAAAGTATATTTTGAAAACGAACTAAACAAAACCGGCTTTTAAACAAACCACATAAGAACATTTTTATTTAAGTGTTTAACAATTATAAGATGGGAACTTTCATAATGCAGCTTTTAATGGGTAGAGAAGCAAAATATTGAAAGCCTAAAAGACTACTCCTCCAAAAGTCAACTAAAACTCAATCCTTCCAGCTATAATCAGTATTTTACCTATTCCTATTGTGCAAGAGATATGCCATTACAATTTAATTGCAGTTTTATTTTATGTGACTTTAAAAGGAGTAATCTTTTTGAAATAATGGTGTTTTCTGAACATTTTGAGGTCACATCTCCATCACTGAACCTGAACACAAAGGTACATCTACTGCAGAATAATGTAGACACAGTAAAGCAGCAGCTGAAATTTCTGAACCACAGGCTAATAAAAAAATCCATGTTAAAAATATTTACCTTTCTCTAGGCATAATCTCCCACCACAAAGGAGAGACAACAGAGATATACAAAGCCAAAACAAATGTATAGGAGAAAGCAGTTACAAAGCAGTCAAACAGAGCTGGAAAGTAACGTGAACAACATGAAAAAACAAGGGAAAAAAGGATTACAGATAATGCAGGACAATTTAAATCTACAGGAGGACTTAGAAGCATCAGAAACATGGACAGGGAAAGAAATCAAGACATACCTAACTCAGATGGAAAGGAATATTAGAGAAGACATGAGACAGCAAGTCCAAGCATTGAAAGTATATTTTCAAAACGAACTAAACAAACAAATTCAAACTGCAAAGAACGAGCTTTACCAGGAGATAGAGATCTTAAAAAAAAACCAAACAGTAATCCTAGAAATGCAAGAAACCATAAACCAGATTAAAAACTCTAACGAGAATATTACAAATAGACTAGATCAAGTAGGAAGTAGGAACATCAGATAATGAAGACAAAGTTTATCAACTTGAATAGAATATAGTCAACAGAGATAAGATGCTTAAATCTCACGAGCACTCTATCCAAGAGATATGGGATCCCATAAAAAAAACAAATTTGAGAGTCACTGGGATAGAAGAAGGCACAGAGGTTCAAACCAAAGGAATGGACAACCTATTAAATGAAATAAACCTAGAAAACTTCCCAGAGATGAAAGATGGAATGGATTGCCAAATCCTGGAAGCCTAGAGAACCCCAAACATCCAAAACCGTAATAGCCAACTCCAAGACATAATGATGAAGATAGCTAACATTCAGAACAAGGAGAGAATATTAAAAGCTATGAGAGGAAGGAGGCAGATTACATTCAGGGGTAAACCAACTAGGAAAAGGAATGATTTTTCATCACAGACTTTGAAAGCGAGAAGATCCTGGAACAACGTATTTGAAACACTGAAAAATAATGGATTCCCACCAAGAATACTGTATCCAGCAAAATTAAGCTTCAGATTTGACAATGAAATTAAAATCTTTCATGATAAACAAAAGCTAAAAGAATCCACAGCCAGAAAACCAGCACTGCAAAGCATTTTGGGCAAAATTCTACAAGAAGAGGAATAGAAAAATAGTGTCCAAAACTAACAGCGGGAGGTATCTCAGTAAAGGGGGAGGAAAATAACCAAAAAGTAAAAACTAGCCAAACTAAAATAAATAAATAAATAAACATGACTGGACAAATCATATTTCAATTGTAAACTTAAATGTTAATGGACTAAACTCACCAATCAAGAGACACAAGCTAGTAACCTGGATCAAAAAACCAAATCCAACAATATGCTGCCTTCAGGAGACTCATATGATAGGAAAAGACATACACAGGCTGAAGGTGAAAGGTTGGGAAAAATCATACCACTCACATGGCCCTCGGAAGCAAGCAGGAGTGACCATACTCATATCGAATAAAATCAACTTCAAACCTAAGTTAAAAAAGGGATAAAGAAGGACACTATATCCTGTTAAAAGGAACCATCCACCAACAAGACATAACAATTATCAATTTGTATGCACCAAACAATGGTGCGGCAACGTTCATAAAACAAACTCTCCTCAAGTTCAAGAGTCAAATAGACCACAACACAATAATTATGGGTGACTTCAACACACCGCTCTCACCATTAGACAGATTCTCCAGACATAAGCTGAACAAAGAAACTATAGAACTCAATGACACAATCAATAATCTAGACTTAACCAACATATATAGAATATATCAACGATCATCAAGTGGATACACGTTCTTCTCAGCAGCACATGGATCTTACTCAAAGATAGATCATATATTATGCCATAGGGCAACTCTTAGTAAATATAAAGGTGTGGAGATAATACCATGCACCATATCTGATCATAATGGAATGAAACTGAAAATCAATGATAAAAGAAGGAAGGAAAAATCCTGCATCACATAGAAAATAAACAATATGTTACTGAATGATCAATGGGTTACAGA